CTCAGTGAGCGGGCACTGGGCGAGCGACTGATAGCCGAGCGGAAGACGGACGGTTGAGCGCGGAAGGTGGGACGACGCCTGTAGGGTAGACTCGCCCGGCGGCCGGCGGGTCTGGCGGCACAGTCTAACCAACAGGCGGGCGAAACGTTTAGCCGTGCAGTGTGCATTGTTTGAGCACGACGTCGCATTCTGTGCAAAGAGGAGGCATCTCAGCTGCCTTTGCCGCAATAGTAAGCTAGGAAAAGATGCATGTTTCATGCCTAAAATTAAATTATATTGATAGGTGATTATTTCCAACAATACCTTGGAAACAATGGCAATACATAAATGCTAAATCGATCAAGTCAAAATTAGCCTTTTTATATAAGGTAATAGTAATAATAAGCCATAAAAAGCACACGCTTTACCTTAACTGGTTTCTTCATGAATTCGCTGCCCACGTGCCGAGCCACTTTCTCCAAATGCGGCCTTCCATTTCTTCGAACATGGAGTGGTTGCGGGAACCGATACCGCTCGATGGTGACCATGACTCCCCTGTTTGCCAGCTATCGCCGTCCTGTTTCACGGAAACAATCTACTTTTCCCATGGCTACTTTTCCCATAACAATTTTTCCCAACAGCGGATGCAACGGAAATTGCCTCTCTTGGATTTGCCAATGCACATTTAACCTCGGGAGAAACAGACAAGAGAGTCACTGGACTCATTATCTTTGGAGTAACTGGACGCTTTGTCTTTGTCTTTGGAGTCACTGGACGCTACAAAAGCACACATTTATTGGAAAATGTCTGTCGAACTTTTACAAGCCATTTCCATTATCTATAGTCACCGTGCCATTTCCCTCCCACTGCACTGTGTTACTGCCAGCCGGCGCCGCGCGTGTTCCGCAGCGTTTCAGCTCCATTGTGGCCTGAGCGGACTGAATTCGCCACCGCTGTACCCAGCAGTGGAAATCGGTGGCACATCTCCAGAGCTACCTTGCCACGCGTCTCGCTCGCTATCTCTCCCCAACATTTCAGCTCTCCATGTGTGCTCCTCCAACACGTGTTGGCTATTTCGCGGCCCTGTTTCGTCTGTTTCGCTGCCGTTTCAGGCTCCATTCGCACTCATCCTGATGTGTCGGACAGTGACGACAGTCTCAGCGACCTGCACTCTGCAGTGACCCTGCACGGCTCCTGGCGACCTGCACCGCTCCGCTCGTGTGCCAGCGGACACCGAATGGCACATGGACGACTCCCCGATGACAGATGGTCACCGCTGTGGGGAGGGGGCCGGAGGGGCGCCCGGAAACGGCGTCCAGGCGCGGCGGCCGGCGCCCCTGTCGCTGCCGAGCGCCCTGTGACGCCTGCAGAGCAAATAAACGAGCCGACCTGCCGCCGACACCGCCGGCCGGTCGTCAGGGCCGCTCGCGGGCCGGCGATACCGACACTACATAATCGCCCACAACGGCCGGCATTCGCCGGTGGAACAAGCGTCCCAGAGCCGACCCGCTCTGTATGCCCCTGTGAGCGGGAGGTTGGCTCGTTTGGTGTGCTGATGACAGCAGGGCTGCGGTTGATGGGAACACCTGGAATTCCTGCACGCGTTTCGATTCTGGTTCTCGGTGAAGTGCGCGCACAAGGAGTCCATTTGACTCGGCGTTTTGCAACAGCGCACCAGTCGCCGCACGCTGGGACCGTTTTCCAGTGACGTGTGAGTGAAATACGCCCCGGGCATGTATCCCCTCATCCGGCTCGGTTTGGCTCCAGTCCAGCGGTGGCTGCCCTCCATGTGGGGCGCCACTTTTGTCGCCGGCTATCGCATTCTTCAGCTACAGACTGCCCGTGTGGCGTGTGCGATTTAGGATTTATGCATAAAGGCATGCATGTAGGCCGTTCATGGTGCACACATGCTTAGAAATACCTAGAAATATGGTAAGAATAGTTGTAATATATAAGTACTAAACATAGCTGCGAAATATAACAAAAATATTGTAAAAGATGCTACAAATCAATGAAAAAGTCGGTCGAAATTCTAAGCGAGTAGCCTTATAAGGTAACATCCTCCTGCTAACTCCAAAGATTGCACAAAAATCTGCACCCGCCGCTCCGATGCAAAACACCCATCATCGGTGACTGAACATGAAGTATACACATGTCCGCATGTATGACACTCTGTGAACATGAAGCACGTCCATCGGCACGGGTTGGGCGCTCATTCCCAGCCGTTGACGCGCGGGCCATCCGGGTCCGCTCGGCGACCATTATATCATCAGGAGCTTGGACGCGCATGACACGGCCGGCCGACGGCGCCACTCGGTTATCGGTATCGAGGGCCGAGCGGCCGCCGTGTGTGCGCCCGGCCATACCGGCCATATCGGGAGACTAAACTCTGACATCAGGCTCGCCGCCGGCCGGTCACCGGTCGCCGGCGCCGCCACGTCCCTAGCTCGACGGGGGGCGACGGTCAGGCAGAACCAGAAGGACCTACGCCCGTATACATCTGTCACGCAGCGCTGCTCACGGTTCCACTCGGCACGGCGGACAATAGGGCATCAACTAGTAGAGGCGTTCTCTGTGTCTGCGGTTTTCTGCGTTCCAATTTGCCCGGAATTCGACCGGCTCCCGGTCCAGTTTTGGTGACGCTACTAGAGTCTGAGCCATAAACAGGCTGATTGGCAGCGGGCCTGATGTCATGACGCTCGTCAGACGGCCACAGCGGCCCCGGTGGGCCATCTTATGTCATTTCGGTGGTGAGCTGGGCTAGACGGAGCCCACCAATCGCTCACGACTCGCTCCTGACACGTGTCGGACTTGAGTACAGCGCACGCACGTGAATTTATTGTGCAAGACATCTCATCAACCGATTAAGAATCAGATTGTAGTATCCAAACTTTTTAAGTTTCATCACCAGATCGAACAATGGTTGAAAAACATACGTATCGAAGCTATATTTTTGGCAGGAACCGCCATCGGCACAGAGCATTTGTGAATGACCTTATGGTATAGGTCATTTGACAGCATACTGACATATTCAGTCAATTCCGAATTTCGATTTCCCAGTAAGCAATACCTGACCAAGCCAAGTGAACACTTCAGAGACTACTCCGACTCCATAAGCATACCAAAGAGTAGTCCGACATCGTATTCATATCTGTTATCGCCACGTGTGCGTACTGCACAGTGCACACATCCTCTTGGTTCTCGCTGCAAGGTCGGGCGATGTGTTTCGAAATAACTCGCCTCGATACATCTGAGAACGACGCTTTCCTGAGTTGTCACCTAATTACCCTAACCGCCCCCTATCGTTCCTAGAAGGTCCCACTCCCAGCTTGGTCGACTGCGAGTGTTTATTTGAACTCTTAACGAGCTGGCAGACCTGCATAAACCTTGGCTAATTGGAAAATTTACCACTGAGTCACTTGCAGGCCAACTAATGTCTCGCTGCTGTCATGAAACAATGACTCTGGCCTGGATCTAGGCGTTGAATTGACATTTCAATGTTCCGATTTTGCAACACAGGCGCAGCAGATCTGGGATAGAGCACATCTTGTGAACTTACATCGTCACCGGATTTAGCGTCTGCATCCCTTTTACGGCGGTCGTTTTTCCAGCGGTGCCGACGCGGGCCGGAAGCTGCCGATGGGCGCGCCGGTGGGTGGCAGCCGTCGGTCCCCTCCCTCCCAAGGCACGGGCGTTTCCGGCGCCCTCGCCGCGCCACCGCCGCCACCGCCGGGGACTCAGCTATTAATACGTGACGCCCTGCTCCGGGGGCAGCCGGCAGCGGCTCTGAAGCTGCCAGACACACCTGGCTCGCCGGAAAACGCCATAAAACAAGTGGCCGTCGCCGCCAATCTGACACCGTCGCCGCCGACGCCGGGTCGGCGCCGACGACGGCTTCCAAACCGCCAGATTGCGTCGGGGTGGGGAGGGGGCAGCCAACAGCCGACAGTCCCGGGCCGGCGCACGCCAGCAGCCGCAGTGCCTGCCGACAGACGGCGGTCGCAATGCCTCGCTGGCAGTCTCGGCATGTCTTTCAGAGGTCACGGGCATACGACACTGCAAGGTCCACTGACCAAGCTATGTGGCGTGCAAATGGCCATGACCGTTTGATGCGTCGGTCACCGCCCACCTTTTATCGATAACGTTTTCTACATCAGATGCATCAACCATGTAAAACAGCAAATTTTAACAGAACTGGCATGCGACTGCATGGACATGATGTTCTAAAATGAAGCCAACTTATTATGCATGCTAAATGCAATATAACACAATGTCTACACATTTTCATCACACATGCATATTCATTATCCAGCGACCAGTAGGTGGGTAGGAAAATAGGTTGAGTTCATGACAGATTTAGTCACTTTTAATCTTCTCATGAGATAGATACCTAACACATTCCTATTGGAGGCATGAATGGACAAAAGCTACAGCAGCCTATTGTAATTTAAGGAAGTGCCCATCCGATCTAAAACAGCTATCAGTCACAAATCTACCTACTCAATAGGCAGGTACTGCTGGTGGTAAGAGACATTGGCCAATATCAAGATAGGCCATCCATCAGTCGTGTTCACCATCAATCAAATCCTGAAGTGCCATCCATTCTGAGTCGTTTTTAATTCGGGCGGGAGAGGAAAACTGTGTTGGCTCAATGGAATACATAGGAATATTGACAGGATAGATCAGACATGACATAACTGTTTTTTAGGGTGAAGTGTGAGATGATAAGTGGAATGGATTGACAGTGTGAATCTTGGAAGGTACCGTGCCGTAGCAGTGCGGTCCGATCGTAATTCATCGAAATGAGTCACGGTGGGGGTTACGAGATCACCAAATAACGAGAAAACCAGAGATCTCTGTCTCTGAAAACATCACGACGAAATTCGTAAGAACGAGCAATAGGTACCCCTTGTTTCAAAGGGAGTGAGCTTCTGACAACTCGACGACAAACCAGCGTCTTGGAGTCGGAGAGGTGACATGACCCGATCCTGCAGCTAAGCATCTCCCCATCTCCGTTTCAGAGACCGCCCGGCTGTGGCACTGTCCTCTGGTGCCGGCAGAGTCGTACCCCGTCAGTCGTCTGGCAGGCCGGCTGGACAGCTCGCTCGACTTCAGCGCCGGCCGGGCCCGCTATTCCTCCCACAGCGGAGACGAGGAGCAGGCGCTAGACCTGAGAGTACGGAGGAGGGCCGACAGCCTGGACCGGTCACCGTCGCCGACAGAGTCAGAGTCGACCACCGTCTCCCCCGGCCGGTCCCCGCTCGGTGGCAGCCACACCGCTTACAGGCGGCAGTCCACAGGTCTGGGCTCGCCGGCCGGCTCAATGGCCGGCTCACCGGTTAGCTCACTGTTTGGCTCACCACCGAGCGTGACCGGCACCCCGAGCTCACCCCCAGCTCTGAGCTACATGTACTACAGTCCGGTGGCAAGCGGGTCAGTGTGCAGCTCACCGCCGCAGTTTGGCTCAGTATGCGGCTCCCCGCCCTCTCCCGGCTCTCCGGAGAGGGCTGCCCGGGGAAGGCAGACATCCGTGATCAGACGATTGGTGCTGGATCGACCAACGACTGGCTCCGAGCCGCCTCAGTCGACAGAAACGCCTGTTCAGCAGGACTACCAGCAGCAGCCGCAGCAGCACCAGCCACAGAAACAAGAGCAGCAGCAGCCTCAGCAGCAACCTCAGCCTCAGCAGCATCCGCAGCAGCAGCCTCAGCAGCCGCAGCCGCAACATCCGTGCGACCAGTGCGGCAGAAAGTACAGCACGGCATCCAACCTGGCCAGACACAGACAGCTGCATTGCCTGCCCTCCGATAAAAAGGTGAGCCCCTGTAAACTCCACGGGAGATGTCCTTTGAGACGAGGAAGACGTTTCAGTCGTTTCCATTGGTACCTTTACCAATAGCGCTAAATAACTTAAAAAAACTCCCTGAGACAGCAAACTGTATGCATGCATTTTAACCGAACACTCTCAAAACGAAAGCAAATCGTCTTTACAAACCAGCAACACTCCACGTTGACATTTCTGTTTGTTCCCCAGGCTCGCAAATGTCCCGAATGCGACAAGGTCTACGTCTCGATGCCGGCCTACTCGATGCACGTGCGCACGCACTCGCAGGGCTGCCGGTGTCCGTACTGTGGTAAGGCGTTCTCGCGGCCGTGGCTGCTGCAGGGCCACGTGCGCACGCACACTGGAGAGCGGCCGTTCCGCTGCTCCGTCTGCGCCAAAGCGTTCGCCGACAAATCCAACCTGCGAGCGCACGTGCAGACCCACTCTAACGTGAAGCCGCACGTGTGCCAGCGGTGTGGGAAGGCGTTCGCGCTCAAGAGCTATCTGTACAAACATGAGGAGTCCAGCTGCATGAAGGAACGAAGGAACAGTCGCGGAGGAAAGGAGGCCTCGCCGAAGGTCAAGGCCGAAATGCAGGGTGTTCTTTGAAGGGTTGAAATCGCCGCCAGACTTTTGTATATATTTTTGTACTATTTTTATCGGTCGTAAGATGCAACTGCGCTGTGGACATGCCTGTGCTCTTGGCCGTGAGAACATTTGTCGGTATAATAATCGCCAACAATGCCGGTCGGCAGTGACGCTGCTGCAATGAGACAGGTGACTTGTAAGGAAAACACTTCCTTGTCTTTTCGAAATATGAAGAGGAAAACTAACGTCGTTTCCATAAGCAGGCAAAAAAGCATCTGTAAAGCAACATTTGCTGGAGCTTAATTTTCAATAAAAGAACCTTATCTATTCCAGGAAAGCTTCTGATTACAACACTTTCAAAGCCGTTTAAAAGCAGTTGCTGTGATTGGCATTTGTTGGCGATTATAAGACAACAAGTATTTTTGTAAGAAAGTAAACAACATATTTTCTTACGAGCATTTACCCCTTTTGTGTGTACCGCCAACATTGTAGTGTCTGTACTGGCTGTGCTCAAACCCAAGAGATACTCAGATTGCTCATTCTACTGCAGTATATTTCACTACTAATGCCAATTTCTTGACATTAGTTATGACTACCAACAGTACAGCTGTGTGACCACATCATCGTGGCTAACAAAAAGACATTTTTAAGTAAGTTCATCTTGTAAATGTGGGGGAGAGCGGGGTCAAATGTAACACGGGGCAATTGTAACAGTGTTAATAATTCATAAACTTACCAATAGAATGAGCTGATGTTCAGACCGAAAATGCGTAATTCTATACTGCCTTTCCCAACGGAGTTTGAAGCGAAAGTGCCGGGTATGTCGATGGCTGTGCACAGTAATGTGTTTTTGAGAGCATTTTGTAGATTTTTATGCCGTTATATTTGATAAGCTCATTCCCGCCATTGAAAAGATATCGACTTCAGACTTTGTGTAAGCGTTGGCAGGCTTGTTGTCGATAAATTGAAAGCATTAAATGCTGCCTACATGCAACATCTTTTTGCGCCAGTTTCGTCTAAAATATGTCAAGGCGCGACGGGGACAATTGTAACATTTTTGCAGGGGTCAAATGTAACAGGTTATAGGTCAGTGGCCATTATGTCAAAGTCGTCAAATTTTCAAGGGAGATGAAACATTGCTGGAATTAAGAGAACTGTGAGTTTTGTCGCAATCGGCAGCTTTTTACGCGATTTATTTGCGAAAAACCAAGGGAGAGGAGGTCCATCCAACCCCTGTATAAGTGCGAGGTTTTATTGCCTTCTTCCTGAGAAGAACCGTCCCTACCAAGTCTGGGAAGAGAAACAAGTGTTCAATACTTTTGTTAAATCAAAGTTTTGGAAAAAATTGTGTTGCTGTAGCCTGTAAATGAACATGTTACAATTGTCCCCGGATGGTGTTACTTTTGACCCCGTATCTGGGGCGAATTGTAACAGCTGAATTGACTTTTTCGAACAACAATTTTGACCCGAAAAAGAAGCTATTTCGGAAATGTTTTAACTGCATTTTAAAGACAAAACATCATAGTTTCTGAAAATAAAAGAAAGAGCTTTATAGCTGCAAACGTGTTTGCACCAGATGATAAAATGCAAAAAATGTTACAATTGACCCCGTTCTCCCCTACATACCCACTCGCCATTGAACCGTAAACCAGGGCGCAACATGCATACAAGGGCGGCCCCGCGAAAGGTCGAAGAAGTGTTGATATTTGTAGTTCCTGTGTATGTCATCTTTTCATGACCTATAGCTGTAGTTTCTTCGGCGTATACGTGCCCTTTTAGTGAAACTATTGAAGAAACGCCTTCTCATGCTCTTATCTTCTACATTGCTTGCCTTAGTCAGTATCATTTAAGTCATGTTTTGAAACATAGCTTTACCTAGCTCTAGTCGAGTTGTGGAGTTTTACTAGTCAAAACTGCTATTGAGCAGATGAAACGTGAATTAAGTGTGTAGCCGTCATTACTCATTTGTTGGGCCATGTTATCTCCACTCCTTTCGCTATTTACAGTCCAGGATAAAAATGTAAAGGGAATACTAAAGGCCGACAAAAATTGACAAATATTTGCAATCACTGACATAATACACTACTTTTAACGCAAAATAATAAACAGCAATTATTCTAAGCCTCCCAGCGACACATTACATTCTTCTGCAGCCATGACATTATAAAGTAACTCGCTTACCGACAGCGAGGGGCGATAGGTAATGACTGCGAATAGCGATATGAAGTGCGTATATGGACCCATGGCTATCAAACCGTGTCTGAGCAGGCTCAACGTGACTTTGTGCCTTTTAGCGGTAAGTTCGTGACACACAGCCCTACGCGGCAGCTATGGAAATGAAACCAAATAGGAACCAAGTGTCAACGTTGATTGTGCCCGTTACATTGCTAGGATTTTGCTTAGGTAGGTAGGTAGGTACTTGTCCTGTGTTTGCTACTAGGAAAACTTTGGACAATATTTGAAATGAATGCGATTCTTAAACAGATAAATCTGCGGTATTCGTCTTGCAACGTTTTACCGCTGGACTTCGCGAATCAGAAATGAAAAGAGCAATGTCAAATTTAGACGTATTCAGGTCGCTGGTTGCGTGAAATGTGTTTTACTGTAGACAACCAGATGTGTTTAATTGCTTGTATGTGTGGACCAGTGCAAGCCTGACGTCGTGTTTAGATGTATTTTGAACCCCCTATGCTTTTTGTAAATAAATATCAACTTCCAACACGTGTTGAGTTTTAAACAAATTAATTATTAGGCACACTAGTTAGGCTGGAAATTGTCAAACATCGGGTATTTGCATGCAAGAAGAGCTTTTGCGGCAATGTGAATGTCATCCTATGGAGAAGATTAGACATTACATTCGGACCAAAACACCTGCACTTTACCTTCAATACACAGGTTACTTTTCAATGACAGAAATCGGTCAATTTTACGCAGTACTGCCTTCCAAGCCCAAGCGGCAAAAAGCTGTTTGACGAAGAGCACCCATAGCACGTCTGGAGAGTGGTAAGTTATGGAGCCGATCATCAGGCGCCACACACACAGATCAAGGTCAAGGTCAGGTCAGGTACCGAGGGTTATCACAAACCAGCGCACAGTGGCCCTTTTTCAGAATTAGCACGCATAAATTCAAAATATTTTTTTCTTCTTTTGAGTAACAAGCAGTCTAATCGTGTGCAAAACATTCCAAACTATCCGATGGTGTCATTTTTACCTCCTAAAAAATAATTATCTTTGGTAAAACTGACCGCAAAATCGAAGTTTGTCGAGAGGCGCGCGGACACCACCGGCGGACCCTAAAAAGTAGGGTGAGATGAACATCAATTTGTAAGGCTTTCGGTGAGAAAATATTAAAAATTAGTGGCATGGCTGTGAAGCTGAGTTTACGTAGAAGCCCTAGAAACCGCAATTTTCATTGTATAAACTTAAATAGACCACTTTTGCCGAATATTGTGGACACAATAACAGGACAATTATTAACTGGAGATGGCGGCATACATATGAAGCTTTATGTTAAGTAACACACTCTGGGACATATCGTATTATACATCGTTCGAATCGCCGATCTCTTCTGACCATGTCCACCAAAGGGCATCGCGCCATTTTGCGCCATTTTGCTTCTACGGTGAATAACGTGAGCCAGTTCAGTCCGCGAGCGGCTGTGGCTCCTATTCGATACGACTAAGCTCATTGACCTGGCTCGAAGCTGGTGTCACCTGGTGGGCGCCTAAATGTGGCTTGACTTTTGCCATAAGATGTGCTTATTGAAATGTCATATAGGCATAACGCTGTGCTCAAGAAAAACTGTCCGATTTCTTGTCGCGTTTGATGTCCAAGCCGCACAAGTCCCGTGGTCGGCTTAAGATCTAACGTCAAAAGCGCCTATGTGTTTGTATTGTTCGCGTCGCGCTGACCTTAGTTGCTGCCCGGCCGGGGCCGATTAACGGTGGCTGGCAACAGCTGCAGATGCGGTCACGTGACGCCCTGAGGCGTCCTGGCGGTCAGTGCAGCGCGGTCGGCTGGCGGGCTCGCCACACTTGCGTTCGGAGCGGCCTGGGCCGGCGGGCGAGCCGTGCGAACTGCGAACGTGCGCCAAATCTTGGGCCGAGCGGCCTGTCGCTGTTGGGCCGAATCTCCTTGGGCAGTTCGTTTCTTTTCTTGTCTTTGCATTGGCAGGGAATACGTCCTTGATCACGTGGTGATGTCTTGCACCACTTTCAGGTAATGTGGGAATTAATGCGTGCTAATTCTGAAAAAGGGCCACTGTGCAGCGGTTGAATGGAACGGTGCAACATATGTTTTCTGGGTGAGTTTACACAATACGCATTGCATTACGAATACAATGGTGAGACTCAAGTATTTTGGCCCACATGTAAGACTGCGTTACCAGGGTCAGGTCAACTTCAAAGCAGGTGAAAACAATAAATCTAAGGAATTATCATTGTTCCGAGTTTAGGGTGGCATTCAATCAGTAAAATAGCGGAAATGAAAGCTTATTCCCCAACATTCGAGCAAAATAAATCACAAAACATGCATTTACGAATCATATTTCAAGTCGTACCACGGTTATCATTGATAGTCGATGGGAGAAGACTCGGTAAATGTGAACCAAATATGAAAACCGCGGAAGAATAAAGCACTAATAAATGCATAAATTTGTAATGTAAACGACGAAAGAATCACAGACTAATGTCTTCAGTACTCATAACTGGATGAAGCTCGTCGAGCATAACACAAGATCGAGCGATTTTAGTTTATTGCATTTTCCAAGAATATCTGCATGCTTCGCAGTAGATTGTCGACATGTGCCAGGCAGAAAGCATATATCTCTCCTGGGAACCAGCAGAGACTGAATCCCGCGAGTGAGCCTCCACGTAGCCCTATGTACAGCGTATATCAAAGCCAGCAGACGGCGGCACACAGTACAAATCACTCACACCGTTGTACTGCAATCAACACCACGCCACTTCACAGTCCGTGTGCCTACAGACGGGACCATCTTTTCAAAATACATGATTCCGGGTGAGTATGCCCTGACGCCAAGGCAGCACCCGAAATAAGCGGCTATAAAAATACTTCGTTGTCGTTGGCATCGTTGTCAAAGAGCGACAATACGTCATGGCATGTAAAGCAGTTCAAATATCGCCACGTTCATGAGTCAACCCGAGCTTCACAATGATGAGCTTATCCGAAACGAAAAAGGCAGAAAGCTTCCTGATGGTCCGCACTTCCTAACAGTGGTTCTACTCAAACAGACTCCAGCCATCACATTATTGCAAACTCGAGAGAAAATTGGCACATTTGTAAAAGCGACTAATAACATAAGGGCTATGTTGCGCAGCCGACTATCCTCTAAATCGACCTACTAAACAGCCTCCAAGGTCGCGCTGCCCAAACTAAAATCTCATCAGACTCTGCAAGCGGGAGTAGATCTCTCGCCTACCAGGGTTTCTCGTCCCGGTACGTCTGAACGACAGCGACAGAGTCATCGTCCGACTTGTGTCTCTGAGGAAACGGGACCGAGCGGGCGGGCCGGGCGGGCTAGCAGCGTACACTGTGGGTCCCGTCAGCCACACACAGGGCTGGCGGGGCGAGAAGAAACCGGTGGGATTACAATGTAACGGACCTTCGGAGATGGGGGGCGATCTTCAGGGAGAAACAACACAGGGAGAGAGGAGGGTGAGCAAAAGTACAGGAAAAAGGCAAGTGAGCGGAAGAAAAAGGGAAGAATAGAGGAAAAAAAAAAGATAAAAAATAGGAGGCAGGCGAGATGAGAGAGCGCAAGACGGGGAAGGGGGAGGGGGAGATACGAGCATGACGGCTCGTGACGAAACAAAAATCCTGGAACAGGCTGACAATGAATTACAGAACAGGGATATGAAGATTAAATAGCCGAAATGATTTACGGGAGGTCGCACAGCTAACAGTGGACACGTTACAGACGTGAAGACAGCGCGCCCAGCGCGGAAGAGAGATCAGACTGAGGGGTCTAAACTGACAGGGCAAGACTGAGAGGGCAAGACTGGCATGCCAATCTGACAATGGCCAAATAGTATGACAAAATATAAGGCACCAATTAATGCTTACATATATACAACGATACAAAGCAGAAGGTAAAAAGGTTATCTTATGAAGAGAACTGTCGAAGAATATGAATATTTACAAGAAAAAAGGTCGAAGAAATCTTACAAGACGCAAAGCACCCTAAACTTTGGCGAACAAAATGCATAAACAATAGCACGCCAAAAACACTTTCAAATACCGACTACAAAGGCTTCACAGCTTCCAATGATAGCGCTCTTAATTACAAAATATACACTTCGTTAGGCTCACAGAAAGAGCAAAACCAGGGCTGAGAACTTCCAATCAAAGAGCAGATACATCGCATCAACGCGATCAGCAGCGAATCAAAAGCAAATCAAACCGATAGACGTTAGGTACAAAAAGCACACCATGGCACGCGTTGAAACGCGAGGAAACGACGACGGTTCGTAAGAGCATCTCACACTCGCCGACCATCGCAGGCACTGTTCGTTATATTCCCCGGACACCACGACAGGCACGAGCGGCGATCGAGTGAGATTCCCAGGAGCAAATAAGGGCACACTTGTACTTGGCGACAGTTTCGGCTGAGTCCGAGGGACGCCTATCGCACGGCACGACTCGGTTTGAGTCTCCTGACGACTCGAGCTGGGCCGTGGTTGTCATACGGCGAGTGTCCCACTTCGTGCGACTCTGGGGTCGGCAGCATCGCTGCGGGGTAACTATCAGCACCGGTGTATCGCTTTAGAATCAGTCGCCAGAATAGCTCATGTCGTCCATCCGAATGCACTTTAGCTGTATCACACGTTATAACAGCCTGGCATCAGTCTTGATCCGATCAGGCCCACGGTACTGTGATGAGCTTTGCGGTACACTGGCGTCCCGCTAGCTACGGCCACACCAGCCCACAGGCCACAAACCACAAAGGGTCACAATGGGATCATTCCGGTACCCTCGGCCGTACGGTGAACGACGTTATGTCCACCTCACTGTTGGAAAGTGTTCAAGCGCCGCACTTTGCGGTCAAAGTCACCATTCGCTCGAGATGGGTGATCGTCGAGGGGCCAAAGCCGTCAGCCTGACTTCGATAGTGAGCAGCGTCTTAGCGCATTAACCACCGGAAAATAGAGAGTATTCTCGAGCTGTAGCTACGCAAAGTTTGTAACAGTTCACAGCGGTTGTCGCTACTGCAGTACGAGGCTCACACTACGCAAAATACTTTGATTTTGGGACTGGCTGCTTATTGTGAGCAGAGAGAAGTCAACGTGTGCTCCAACCCAAGTGCTGGCAGTAGAAAGTACTGTGGCGGACTTTATCCTTTCCCAGGAATACGAATAAGTTCGGCGAGGCAGCGGCAGCCAGTTTTTCTCGTTTGCGAAATTCCAGGTCCCAGACCTGGGGCTGATGCGATAGGGAGCAGAGCGAGGTCGACTGAGTACGAACTCAATCACAGTCGCCAGCCCAGGCGGCAACAGCAGCTCTAACTATAATGGCACTTCATCGGACCAGCGCTTATCGCGCCCCCAGCCGAAACACGGCGACTGTGCAGCGCACAGAATCCCTCACAGCACCAGCAGCGCCACCTGCACATACCTCTCCGAACGGCAGCGCCACCTATGCTCGCAGATGACGCCACCATCGCCAGTCGGCGGACGGGGTTACAGGTCGGCCTTCAGGTTATCCGATTTGATGGCCCCCTGCAGTCTGACGAGCGACTTCTTCAGCCGCAGCGCCGACAGCCGCACCAGGGCGTTGTGGTGCCAGCACTCCCGCATCAGCCGGGCGATGCCCACCAGAGTCTGAGGGAAAATGGCAGACAATCACTCAACGAGTGCCCAGAGTTTAGGCCAGGGTCTTCGGAGGGACGCATGCTCGTGTATCGTCCCAAGTAAAGTGGTATAACCAAAATGCTGGTAGAACTAAAACAAAACAAACAATAAGGCAGTGTAAACACTGAAAACACATTTCAGCTTTAAACCATGCCAATGCCCTGTACTCAGCCATTCCAAGCGCGGTGTCCTGAATCTAAGTAAGTACCCACTACCCGGCCTAATCCAGACAATAATATGCTTCCAATCGTTATTTTGTACTCAACTAGTCCTACGTATCAGGTATGTCCAGTGTCTGGGCAAGTAGCCTTGGTATGTCGATCGGCTACGCATTCTTGCTTATCTAGGCATGGGTGGTAAGTCAGTTGTTAACCACGTCATTGTCACCATGTCAGTTTCTGGCCATCTACAGATAGGTTCAGTGCCGACTACCGTCACGTACCGGGTGTCCCGACCAGTGGTTGGGGATGGCCGGCCGGTGCTGGTCCACGCACACAATCTTCTTCATCTCGTCGAAGCCCGGGTCGGGGGTGACCACGTCCTGGTAGGGCGACCAGTAGGGCTCTGCGCGGCCGCTGGAGGAGCACCGCCGGGTGACCTCCCAGAGTACCAGGCCCAAGGCGTACATGTCCGACTTCAGGAACGCCTCAAATACCTCCGGGTTCAGGCTGGCGAAGTAAGACGGGCGGGGAGGGTCAGTATGTGTGGGAGCAATCAGAGACAGATTTGAAGGAGTAACAGACCAGACAAGGAGACAGACCAAAGCACGAGTGAGAAGACACCGGACGGTCTTTGAGACACCAGCAAGACAGTCATGTGAGCACTGTGAAGACTTCCTCGCGGAAACGAGGTCAAGTATTGGCCGCAGCTCTCAGTCCATGGACCAACAGATCAATTAAACCATCAGTGAACACCTCCAGTGTCCTGTTCTCGTGCTGAGCAGCTGACCTATCCAATATCCTGTGATCCCTGATGATTACGCCCTTCTCACTCCCTCTCACCAAATCGTAACGGAAATAAAAAATGGCATCTTTAGATCTGCGTCTCTTTTCGTGTCTGCGACCACCACTAGTCTATCCTTCATACTCATCCCTCATTAAATCATCCCGTCCATTTAATTTATGATAATCAGGCATTCATCTACTCTCATCCTTCAACCTCCCCCTTCCCGACAAGACAGTCACCTTTCATCGAGCACCTCCGGGGCCATGTAGCGACGTGTGCCCACTCGCAGGTTGGAGCCCAGGTCAATGTGTCCGCCCTGCTGGGTCACAGCCAGGCCCAGGTCGGCGATGGCGCACTCGCCATTGTTCTTCACCAGAATGTTCTTGGTCTTGATGTCACGGTGAGCGATGGCTGGCTTGCCCTGTAGGGAGGACAGAGGGCGTGAGTCAGCTCCATATTGTCAGGCGCAGAGGAGAGAGATTGTGGCAATAGCTTGTAACGTTAATACACGAATCCAAAGGTCTCTCCAGCTTAGCCATCACACAACCGTACATCAGTTGAACACTCGAGATGCGGCCCACTGAACCCACTGAACACTGAACAGACAGCCTTATCCACGTCTCCCAGTCCCAATTCATCTCTAGCTAACATTGTATTCCTTCAACCACGATGGTCCGTGGTTGAAGGAATACAGAGGTCTATGCTCTGTATACTGCAGAGGTCTATGCTTCAACCCTGTCCCCTTCTGTGATTCTCCTCAAACCAACTGATCCCAAATCCCAGCCGGCGTGGCCTGTCCCAGCCAAAGCACTCTCCCATCCATCACGTCCATTCATCACTAACGTTATGTGGAGACCCCAGATCATCAGCCAGCTTTGACATCCTTCACCCTCCCCTCGTGATCCATCCCTGCCCCATCCTCAGCCCCCTCTACCAATAGTCATACCCCAGTCCCAACCCCATCCCCGGGCCCCCGCCCTCCCTCCCCCTCCCCTGACTGTCGCACCTGCGTGCCGTGCAGCTCCGAGTGCAGGTGGTTGATGCCATTGACAGTCGATATCAGCACCTGCAGGGTCTGTTCCAGACTGAGCGTCTGCCGGTTCAGGAAGTCGTACAGCGAGCCCAGCGGGTGGTAGTGCGCCACCAGCAGCAGCTGAGTGCACGAGTTGCGGGAGCCCATGTCGGAGCCCAGGTAGCCGAGAATGTTGGAGTGGCGCAGCATGGTTGTGCTGCAGGCGATAGGGGGTGTCAGATGTCTGAAGGCAGAGTTTGTAGAGAGCTGGCGTGGTCGGAGCAGTGAGACGGCAACGGAACGAGCATCATTGTGGCGAAACGAGTTATTTTTTGGTGAGAACAACTCAGACGCGACAGGCTAGGCATGCACACCAAAGCACGCCAAAATGATGCAATAAAATACTGGATAAGGCACAGTCCTCAGAAGGGCTATCACTACTTCCACCTAAATCTAACTAGCCCACACTTAGTCTCCAGAATCCAAGTAACACCAGCCCATAATCGACCTCCTCCAGCAACAACACTCACTCACCCCCTCTCCCCCCCCCCAGCAGGCGCCTCTTGTCATCCATCTCAGTCACTCCCGGCCACACCTCACCCTTGCCCCATCATCCCCTTCAAACAGCGACTCACTTGTAGATCTGCGTCTCTCGCGCCCAGGAGGCCTCGTCGCGCGAGTAGAATATCTTGACGGCGACGTGCTCGCCCTGCCAGACTCCACGCCACACCTGGCCGTAGCGACCGTAGCCGACGCAGTTCTCCAGAGTGATCTCCTTGGCGAGGGTGCGTTGGATGAGCAGTGGGAGGCCGGAGCCGGAGCCGGAGGTCATCGAGTGCTCCAGCACCTCCTGCGGGGGAGGGAACACGGTGCAGTCAGACGGATGAACACTGTTCATTGTTCACGTTCACGTTCACTGTTCGCTATTGTTCATTGAACAGTAGCGTCATGAAGCGGGTGACAGTACCGGCTATGATAGCCTTACGTGGTGATGAACGGGGTGTGCAACGCAGTGACTCTGATAAAGCTGCTGGAAGAAGTTTTGGGTTAACGATGAGGTAAAGGTTTAACGTTTAAAGCGCGGAAGACAAACAGCCAAATGTGTCGATTCCCTTTTTTAGCTCTTCTTATCTAATACACCGCGATCGATTTTCCCACGCAGACCAATTAGATTGCTCTCTAGCGCACCCACACAACTAACCAGTGACAACCAACGTCCTACCGAAGTGTAACTAACAATCATGAATATCCCTCACCGCGCCATATCACAAACAACCGTGCCGCCGGAGCCACTCACCCGTAGGGTCGAGTCTCCAGCCTGGCGCGCGCGGATCATATCATCATCCAGCATCTGAGACGAGCCGAGCATCGGTTTCTGTGCCTCGCTGTGCGGATGGGCGCGGAGCCGGTGCCGGTGGCGGCGCCGGGCGCGCCACAGCAGAGCGAGCAGCAGCAGCACGGCCAGCAGGACGAGCACGGGCCCCAGCGCGGCGGCCACCAGCGGCCCGTAGTAGGCCGCCTGCCGGCCGCCGCCCGCCGTGCTCGATGTCTCCACGTCATCTGTGCGGAGCGGGGAGCGGTGTTAGACGTATGGGATAGCTGTACTGCCACCAAGGTCAGAGAGCCAACAGGTAATACACATCCAATGAATACGAAGGCGCACTCGTTTATGGGAACATCAAATGAGACACAATCAATTAAAGAAAAGAAGTCGATAGACATATTAGATATTTTGTCTGTATCATAACTATCAGCTTTACATTATTCTAGGCTCACTTTGTAGTCTATAACACTGCCAGCCATAGAAGCTAGCAGGCATTCTAGCATCCACTGATACCGACTGCAACCTACGGCAGCGCCGGCCCACCTGTGATCTCGGGCAGCTCCGGCAGCGCCGGGAACGCCCCGTCGTTACAGTTGTTGCCCTCGCAGCAGTGGATGGCGTACTGGACGGACGGCTGCTCCGGTACGCGGCCCGTTCGGCTGAATCGGTTCGTCTGGCACAGCATCAGCGCGTGGTCGACGCTGGTAAGACAGCCGCGCGAGCGGTGCACCAGACCGCCGTAATCCATGCTGCGGTCCACCGCAGAGAAACACTGCCGCACACGGGAGGGGCAACGATGGCTGACTTACTTCAGAAGGAGTGCTAAAAAATCCTGATTCTAGCCATTGAGGGTGCGAAATAGCCAGAAGTTGGCCAGCACGAACACCAAACTTATGTTTGTTGTGCACACCAAACTTATGTTTGTCGTGCATGTCCTTGTCCACATCACCAGCATACCTAACGAAATGCTTAGTGCCTCCGACATACACAGAATGACAAAATATAAAACAGACGAGTCTTCACGCCTCGCTGTCACGGCCAGCGCCACCGTGATTACCCCGCCCACTCACCCGCACGGCGTCATGACACTGGACGACACTCTCGCACGGGTGGCTGCACTGCCAGCAGCCGAACTTATCCAGCGCCATCTTCGCCAGCACGCTACTGTGGGAGAGTCGGTCCAGCAGGGAGCCGCCCGGCTCGGCTGTCCCGTTCAGCTCCGGGTGCAGCGGCGGCGGCGACACGGCATCGGCGGCGTCCATCGTGTCGGCAGCGGGCCGGTCGGCTGTTGGGAGCGGAGGGGCCGGTCACAGGTCAACAGTAGGCTGTCGGGAGCAGTAGGACTGGGGGCTGGTTACATGTCAGCAGCTGACATTTGGCTTGTGCTTGAGCTAATTTTGCAGGTCAGAGAGAAACAAAAGTTATTCCCTGCGTTCGGACGCGCTATTTTTCGAGGAGAATTTCCACGCCGAGGGATTTCTCACCCAAATGGTCGTTCGGGCATGCCCGTTTTGCGGGATCCCGAACGATTCCTCGCGTTTCGCGGTGCCCAAACGGCTGTTTTCGTGAGGAATTCCTCAGCGAGGCAATTCCACAGAAAAAATGGCACATCTGAAGGCAGAAATGTACTACCTATTGCTTGAAAAAGCAAAAGTATTTGGAATATTGTAAAATACATTTTAAATATGTAGGTATTCAGCTTCAACTAAGTGTGATAGCAGTCAGTACAACTATCTGGATGAGTTTATGGCTATCTATGAATTCAGGTCTATGTAGATATGAATATATCAGCAAGACTCTTTGCCAATGACATCTTATTCAGGCTTCTTGTAAGCTGTCATGATTGAACAGATGCCTCCCACTGGCCACAAGCCTATGCTCATTGCTGAAAGGACAGGTTCATATAATCTTGTGCTCTCAAACTTTTGATTAAAAGCCATCAAACTCTGGCTGAGTACCTACACTCTGAATTTAACATTTGAGTCTATAGCCTGAGCACTAACTGCATTCAGTGCCAAATGCACCAAGAAGCATGCTAGTCAGCTGATTATTGAGTAGCTGTTGGACACTAAATCATGCATTGCTGACTCAATATTAATTTACTAGGTACTCCTCATGACTTGAAATACTTTAACTTCTCAGCGTGCACTAAGCACTGGACGATTGCGCGCAAAATGTAAGCCTCACCAGTAGTCCGCCACCTAAAGGCATGTAGTTACCTGTGACCCAAAACTATAAGTTCAACAAATGTAGAACAATATGCATTTCAAAGAAATTTTAAAAACTGCTTTTCACAAAACATCAAACCTTAACTAAAACTGTGTGGGAGCTGACCCATTGCCGTATCAACTACTTCAACTTACTATTCAATATTATTGGCTTCTCTGAGCTAGTACTGGTACCTGCAGATGCATACATCTAGGAATTATTTGTATTGAGTTTAATAAGATGAATAAATAAAAAAAAACTAAAAGGAGCTACCTAATAACCACATAAGATGGACATTGACATAGAGCCAACACAACAAACAACCTTGTTTGAGATGATTGGGATTTTGATTGGTGAGATAAGTGAGACCACAAGGGAGAAGCACTGCAATCATTGTACAGGAAGCATAGAAAATTAAATAAACGTTAACTTACCAATCATATAACCAATTACAAGACGTCAGGCGAAAATTGGAACCACTTTTATTCCAATTTCAGTTGTCAGCAATGCAATGAAAACAATGGCTGAGGCAATTTCGGCGCAGTTTTTAAAGGTCTGTTCATCTAGCCTTTAAATCAATTTTGACTTGGAAATATTTCATTCGGTCAACAAAAGCAATGCTAGCAAAATTATAATTGAGAGGAAAATCAATTCAATCAGCAGTAAATAAAAGTAAATGTTTTTTTGGAAAGCAAACACAAAAATTGCCTTTGTGAAAAAACAACTTATTTTGCTTGGACGTCATCATATGGTCAGAGTAGAAAATAGAGAATGGTATGATTCCGCTTTACATTTTCGGATTCTTCTTTTCATTTGTCCCCTCATTTCTATACAGAGCGCCAAGCAGAGCGCTATGTTGGCGCTATGTGTTGTATGGAGTGGTGTCTGTGAATATTTATTCTGTTTGTTTGTTATGCGTTCATAGATAACAGAGCGATTGAGATAATTTTGCTGAAACTTCGGTGCCAGACCTCTTTTTACGATGGCGTTCATCAGTACACGCCTTTGTCGTCCTGGCACGCTGCATAAAGCTTGCACGTCCATTGCTGCAAGGTTCTGTACTGGTGCCAGTTCATCTGCACCTGCAACTGAGAAAGTCACTCACACTGGACAGGTAAGACATTTTATTCATTTAATAAAACACTGGGCACACTTGAAATACACAACTCACCTTAACGACTGAGTCAGGGGCAGGGCATTGCAACTGCAAGGAGCTCGATAGGAGGCCAAGTGAGGCCAAGTGGCCTTTCAAAATTTAGCACTTTATAAGTACTAGAGGTACCTACAGGTTTACGTGATAACTGTATGTTTTGATTGATGTTATGTTATGGCTGCAATTTAGTTTGGGTGAGTGACTTGTATTTTAGCTGTATTATTTTGAGTATATTTGGGTAGCCGTTTTTAATTAAACTGTAAGGTTGAGGTATAATGGTGATAGTTGCGGGGTGTTCGTCTTTTGCATGTTGGGCCCTTTTTTAACTCAACCCTACCCCTACCCTACCCCTACCCCTACCCCTACCCCTACCCTACCCCTATCCCTACCCCTACCTCTACCCTACTCCTACTCTACTCCTACACTACCCTACTCCTACTCTACCCTACTCCTACTCTACCCTACTCTTAATCTACCCTACTCCTAATCTACCCTACTCCTAATCTACCCTACTCCTACTCTACCCTACTCCTACTCTACCCTACTCCTACTCTACCCTACTCCTACTCTACCCTACTCTTACTCTACCCTACTCCTACTCTACCCTACTCCTACTCTACCCTACTCCTACTCTACCTTACTCCTACTCTACCCTACTCCTACTCTACCCTACTCCTACTCTACCCTACTCCTACTCCTACTCTACCATACTTCTACATGTGGTGCTAATGGGATGCTGCCCCCTCTGCCTCTCCTTAACCAGCCATTTGCTGATTTTGTGTTTTTTATGCATTGATATTTGTAGGTAACTCGCCATTTTTTTTTGCATATTTAAGTGCTCAACAGTATTATAAAGCTGTGTACCCAAATCCTGGAGCAAGCAAGATTAGTGTGCTGGTCTATGGAGTAGACATCCAGCAATGTTTGTTGTAACATTGTCAGTACCTACTGACTTATCAAAGGAATGCTGGAGCTCCACCCCATTCCTAAAAGCTGAAGCCTCCTCAGTTGTGTCCCCTGGCTCTGGCTGATGCCTAATCAGTTATTATGCCTACCCATTACCAAACTTATTGGCTGCATACTGAATTCTATTGTGTTTTACAGGCTGTCTGCAAGTGGAAACTTCATTTTCCTGCCTCATTCTAATGACTTTCACTTAGCTTTACTACCAGACCATTGTCCAATTATGTTCTTTTTATTGACTTCAGTCTTCAGTTTGTGATGATGATTGTGATAAGTGGAGTACATATATGTCAATAAGTGGGTCTTGTGTGAGTCAAAGTAGATCCATAAAATCAGCTTTGTGCTGCACCATTGAGCAGCTGTGTTCTTAGATACGAGCCCATCGGGTGGAGCTCTTCTACGCAGCGCTGCGGAGTCGGAGACAGAGTCGGAGTCGGCCGGAGTCTGCAGTTCTGGATGGAGTCGGAGTCGGAGTCAGAGTCGACTTTGGAAACCGGAGCGGGGTCGGAGTCGGAGTCACCGAAAATCCATCGGCTCCGCAGACCTGGCTGTGCTGCGGAGTCTGAGTCTGAGTTGGAGTCGGTCGGAGTCGACCGATCTGTCCGGAGTCGGAGCCATCGGAGTTAGTTTTTGGAAGCCGGAGTCGGAGTCACCGAAAATCTATCGACTCCGCACTCCGCAGCCCCTGGTTCTACGCGCGCCAAGCAGGGCTTGCTGCGCAGATGCTGACCTCTATCGCCCGATCGGGTAACGTCGAGTGTGTGACTGAAAACAGTCCAAGCCGCTGATGACTGCCGGGACCAGGGCTGCGGACTTGGGAGTTGAAGTCGACAGCTGTGGCCGAAGTCGGAGTCGGAGTCGGAGTCGATTTTGGAAACAGGAATCGAAGTTGGAGTCGATTGTGGAAACCGGAGCCTGAGTCGGAGTTGGAGTCACCGAAAATTCATCAACTCCGCAACCCTGCCAGGTGTGCGGGGTCGGAGTCGGAGTTGGAGTCGGTCGGAGTCGACAATTCCGCCCGGAATCGGAGTCGGAGTTGGTTTTATAAAGCCGGAGTAGGAGTCGGAGTTGGAGTCGCCGAAATTTCATCGATTCCGCAGCCCTGGCCAGGACTACAAAGTGAACGGTTTTTCGGTACCTCAGACTTTGACCCCGGCAAAAAGAATCGTCTCAGACTCCAGTTCCGACTCCGGGTATCTTTAAAGACTGCATCACGGTAGTTATAAAAGTAATGTCTGATAGGCATGCTTTTTGTCCTGCCCGAGCTATCTGCTGCACAGTCCAAAGCCAAGCGCTGTGTAAGTGTGTAATACACATAAGAAATATCTGCATGAACCAAAACAGGTTTTAGGGCAGCTTTCGTCTTGATTTTCGTGCTCAAAAAGTGTATTCAAACAGGAGCCTGGCCTTTGCTTCGTTGAATTCTGTCTTGGAGGGGTCAATGAACGTACTGCTAGGACTGTCAACTCTGACCGAATCTGACTCATATAGGCTATGCGGAGTCAGGATAGCGCATAGACTCGTCGACCAAATTCCTACGTTTAGGTTTAATACATTTTCCTCACTTCCTACCATCACTACCAGATATGAGAAAGGTCCATAGTAGTGCGGCCAAATCCATGTTGAGAAGCATGCCTTAGGCTTGTCTCGTCTCGTGTTGCCTTATTTTGTCTGTTAGGTACTGGACAAGAACGCGTTCAGAGTTCAGGCAGGGGGCACTAAACCTCGTTCGGATATGCGTTAAGTGTTTGTTTCGGAGATTAGACTGCAGCGCTTTGCTTTGACGCGGGCGTGGAGGGGCTGCGGCCGGCAGTGTAGCACCGCCCGCGGAGGGGGGAGGGGAGTGACGGTGAGCTGAGGCCAGGTGGGGTGGGGGAAGGAGGGGGAGGCGGGGGCGGGAAGTGCCCAGACGGGATCGCTTACATCAGCTGTCGCTGCCAGCTCGGTGCCGGCGAGTTACATCAGCCTCACCGTGGCTCTGCCTGCCGACGAGCCGTGGCGCGTAGGCAGCGCTTTGTTCCTGAAATACAGGTTTCATATGAAATGTAATGATATCTAGTCTCTGGGCTGATTCGGGAGCAGACTGTCGTCTCTCGGTACAGTACTCCCGAGCAGCTTCATGTGAGCGTCTGCACTGGTACCGCCACCTTCACGCTATCACGTGGCAAGTGCCCGTGACGCCGCCGACAGTAGCGAGTCACCGACCGAGAACGTGAACTCCTTATAAAAAGAACACGATATGAGCCGGCCGCCGACAAGCCTCGACTAGCGGATCAGCTTACCAGCTGATGCAATGCCACTGATGCAATGTTTTCTATTCAGAAACTCGAAGAATTCCTGAGCTTCCTTTTTGCTTGTGTTTCACCTTTGTCAGTTTGGCTACTGTTGCTTTTGTCTGGCATTTTTAATAAGTGTCGATGTAGTGCTATCTAGGTCTTTCTATGTGTGGTTCCATCTGTTACGTCATAATTGTGAGATATTGAACGATTTCTGCCGGGCGGGAATTCGGAATCCGATCCTCCATCGCGTCGTATACTTTTGCATCCGAATGTTTACAATGTACTAAGACATTCAGGGAGTGTGATGCTGGAAAAACAGGGGACCTTTGGAAAATTATCTCGCACAACGCTACCCTTCGGCATGCCTATTCAACATCCCTGCCTTCGTGACAGCACTATGGAATCCTCTGTCTCCTAACCCTGAAAGGCAAGCAGTCGTTGACTGAATGTCTCGCATCTATCACATTTCTGACCACCGTGGGTTCCTCTACCTCCAGACTTTCGCTGAGGACGACTACCGACTGGTGCGGTTCACGGAGCGAACCAAGCAGGTGAACCCGCAGTTCGCCATCGACCTGATCGCTCAGGTGCCGCCCAAGGTGTGCACAGAGCGCGTGGTCGTCTGCGACGGCGGCGGCGGCGCCCTCGGACATCCCAAGGTCTTCATCAACCTGGTGAGTAGCGCGATGTCTTGGTGGGGATGGAAGGGAGGAAATCTCGAAAGGGTGGAAAGGAGGGGAACCTCGGCAGGGCTACTTACTCTTCCTAACTCCTAGCTTATTCATTAGACTGGGGGGGGGGGGCGTTAGTCGGATGAGTGGCTGGCTAGTGGCCTAATGCTCCCGACTCTTCACCAGCGTAGCACGCATTCCAGACATGGAGAGGAATAGCGCAATATGTATTCCTGATTGTTGACTGGCTGGTGGCTTTGGTCGTAGGCTATATGACAGTACCGCGGGATTCGTCCCCAAATACCGTGTCGTGCCATCCCGTTTAAATTGACGAGGTGCGTGTATGCTAGGGTCTCCTGGGTGGAACTGATCCTCCCTGATCAGTGGCTGGACGCCTGTCGATATCTGTTAGGGATCTCTGGGCGGATTTGGACCTGTCCGATCTCTAACAGCTCTGCAATGGCGAGTAACAGAGCCGCTCCGGTTGCAATGTTTCGTCAGCCCTGTGCGTTCTCGCTCGATCTCATGTCTCCAACTGGCCGGTCGGCTGCCACTCTGACGACCTCTGACGTCACTCTGACGTCAATGCTGCTCCGGATGGGCGTCTGTATATCCTTCTGCATTCACTCTGGAAAAGGTCGCCAATTACACTTGTCATATCCAGTTTGCAGGGTGCTTTTGTTGCATCAGGGCGCGGCGGTGAGCAAGAGCGTTCTGTGGCCGACAGCGGTTGCGGAGCGTGCAATGTGCTTTACACCTCTGATAGCTGGCGGCAGAACGGTGTTCCCTACGGGACTTGGGTGCCGCTGACTAAACGGTGCTTCCGTATAGAGACTACCGTGTTGGTAATTATAAGCGGTGCTCCTTTCGTAGCGGCCGTGCCGTTAAGCATAAATGTTGCCATCCTCCTTTGGGAGTCTTGTCACTGACTGAACGTTTCTCCCTTCGGGATTGCGTGACGCCGCCTGTGGTTCTCTAGTCTATCCCTCCCTCCCACCCAGATGTTCTGTGATAGATGTCGTTGTTTATTGCATATCTGCGCGCAGTGAACTAGTTCGATAATGCTCTTATTTCTGGTTCGTTATATAAATTGGGTAGCGTTCCTCATCGTTAACCCTAGAACGCCTAGGGGGAGGGGGGTTGTATCAACCCCCCCCCCCTGAGGTTTTTTCGAAGTGCACGCTAAACGGCTTGTCGTAGCGGGCTGAAATTTTCAATACCCTCTGGGGCAACCTTTGCGCATCTTTTGCCGAAAAAAATTGATCGGGTCATGTCAGGTCACGGAGTTATGACGTCATAAGAGGTACAGCCTCCGGCCGACAGTTACCAAACGTGTGCGCCGAATCCCTAGGTTTTCTGCCGGTGATACCCACATTGTTTGATGGATCATGATGAAACTTCCCATGCATGTTGGGGCAAGCATTGGCTATCGTGTGGTGCAAGAAAATTGACCGGGTCAGGTCAGGTCACGGAGCTATGACGTCACAAGAGGAACAGCGTCCGGTACTATTTTTGAAAAGCGCCCGAACCACTATTTTGCTAATTCTTGTCACCTCAATGGGAATATGCAGCAATATTAGCTTCTATAGGGAGCAAATGGACCTCCCAAATCCAAAAATACAATCAGATTTCAAAAATTTAAATTTTGATTTTTCGAATTTCTGCCGCCGACTGTGACCTTGCCGACTTCCGGCGCTCCCAACGCGCCATTTTTAGAGCTAGGGAAACGAAATACATACCAAACGATAGAGAATTGATCAAGGAACACGATAGTGAAGGTTTCAAGTCGATATCTCCCACCGTTTTGCCGCAATCGCCGCGGAAAGTTGAAAAAAGTTTGATTTTTTCGGAAAATTTGACCTTTGACCGGTCATAAGTATGTAGGTCAAATGTTGACCTAGGACCAAAAAATATACCACCAATCGCGAGATCTCGTTGAGAGCAATCCGTTGGTTTTTTCCGCTAAGCTCTACGACCTTCCGTTTCGAAACGCCAGGGGGGGGGTCGTAACAACCCCCCCCCCCCCCGGTCGTTCGTGTTATGAGAAATGGCCTGGTCGTGCGAGGGTTAAGATCTGAAATATAGATGGAAATAATATTTTTTACTTTTTGCACCTGTTTGTTCAAATTTTGCCGTTTTGATGCCAATTTCATAGCCAGTTTTAGATTTCGTCAGCTTAGATTAAATAATATTTTAGCCTAAACGTAGTGTTCGTACAAGCGATTTCCGTCGAACATTATCGTGCATGAAAATAGAGGGGACATGACGCCACCATGACGTCGTTTCCGTCCAACTTATGATAGTTACGAAATTTTCATCTGGATACTCTCAAACTAATGTAGCTGAGGGCGCCTGAAGTTTGTGTCGATGCGTTTTCAAGTTACTAAAATATCGCAGTAACACGGGATGGAGGCTCTATACCCTGTAGACTGTGGAGTCCCCCCATCCCCACCCAGTCGAGCGCTGGATAATAGGCCTATATCCGATAAGCTATAGCTACTTTGTGCGCTGAAGTTGCGGTGGCATTTGCTGTATTACCCTCGTTATTTGAAGGTCTCTCACTTGTCTGAGCATCTTGCATCATGCAGTACGATAAGAAAGAGACAACATTCTTCATTAGATTTAAATAACCACAAGTGGTTGTGTCTGTTAAGTGAAATCACTGATAGGACTCTCGAGGTGCAGCATTGCGTGATAAAACGTATCCGAGCATTGCGCGATGTTTGTCGCTGAAACCGCCTGATGCAATCCGCTCTTGCTGTACCCACCTTTACCTGCACGGCAACGGAATAATACTGGATGAGTTGGCGGGTTAAATGCGGCGCTTGATACCGGATATTCTGAGCTGTTCCACAAATGATGCAACCTGCCGTGGAGCCGGCCGCTGCGTCTGCGCCAGACCCAGGCCGACTCGCCACTCTCGCCTTTCTTAGCGTTTTAGATCCAGTTACCCGCTCTGTCAGCCACGGCATTATTCGCTCTTACTATGCAGTTCGTGTGGAAAACTGTGATACGCACAATGGGTACTATGAGTCCTGACATAGCCTGACAGACACAGCCTGACATCACGTTGTCATTCGTCATCCATGAGTCACCCATGTATTATCCCGCGCCCCGCTGGGGGGGGGGGGCAGAATCTGCCCCCCCTCCCGTTTTTCGCCAATAACTTCTAAACGCGTTATGCCAGCGACGTCAAACTTTCAGTACCTTATCATACATCAATTTGACACGTTCCCTGAAAATTTGAGCGAAATCCGTCGGAAAATTTTTGAGAAATTGACGTTTTTGTGACGTCATGTTCGCCATTTTCGCCTCAAAAACGGCAAAATTTCAAACGCCGCTAACATCTTCATTTTTAAAGGAATCAAGACGTAACAAAAAAGGTTATACGTGATTCTACTTTGTCTATCAAATGGCTATCTCGGTTTTTTGAAAATTTTGGATTTTGACCCAAATTTTTCCAAAAAACTGACTTTTTTGGAAATTTATTATAAAATCCAAAATTTTGAGTGTATCGAAAAAAACGGAATATATGTCAGAGAAGTAGTCTATGTGCACCTATATACCAATTTTTAGAAGAATCGGTTCAAAAATGTGGGAGTTATTCAAAATTTTATGACGTCACGACACACAAAAATTTTGAAAAATGATTTTTTTGGAAGTTCTAGACCTTGTACGGAAACAAAAATAGCACCATTCGATTCGCCGTGAAAAACTGCATCAGATAGACACCTTTTTAGGCCTTAACAACCAACTTCAAAATTTGACCTCACTTGACCTGACCTTGACCTGACCTCGACCTGAAATTCATCCAGAGGTGGTCCATATCACTTATTGAGTGTGCCCATTGAATTCTATGAATAAAATGACCCATAAAACATGTGTCGCACATGCCCTTTTCTATATTTTGTTTTTGGTGACCTGACCTGACCTGACCTGACCTTGACCTTGACCTTTGAATGACATTGTATGCAACAAATATTGTCTTGGTAGTCTAAGAACACGTTTTGGGCAATCAGTCTCAGTCCATTCTCCGGCAACTACGGTGCAAGGCCGATACTGTAGAAACTTACATTTTGTACCCTTGACCTGACCTTGACCTGACCTCTGACCTACTTAAGCAAAAAAATTTGGGCTCTTTAGATCCGCCTTGTTGAGACCTTTCGATTGCCGTTTTCCCCGTCTTTCTACGACCATCGGTTCGGAAGTTAGACAGGGGGGGCAGAATCTGCCCCCCCCCCCCCCCCCAGCAGGGCGCGTATGGCTGAATAGCCCAGCGGGGCGCGGGTTATGTAACCCCGCCGTTATTTAAAAAGCGAATATCCGACTTCGTGTCCCACTTTTGTGACAAGCAAGGTTGGTGAATTATACCTCACGACCCCGCCCCTTTTCTCCCCCAGGATCAACCTGGCATCCATACCTGCGGCTACTGCGGCCTGCGGTTCGTGAGACCGGACCACCACTAAGCGACGCCTGCCGGCCGATCAGGGCCGCCCCAGGTGTGCTCAGCTGTTGTAATTAGACTGATTGTCCGTACGGGAAAACCGCGGGGGTCAATGTAAATATAGGTACACGTGTAAAAGATGTGTTTGTGGGACATTCGAGGAGCAAGGATTACGGAATAAGGGAAGAAGGTGAAGGGTGTTATGGGGGATAAATATTGTAAGACAAGTTGGATGAATTCTGGATTGGTTTAGTTCAGTGTCAATGACGATGAGAGAAACAGAAATGCTAGCACAAAAGATGACCTTCGGGCGAATGAATTATTATAGTATTTCACCAATGTGACTTCTAAGCATGTGACCAATATCGGCTCTATGAGGTCTTGTTACTCGTAGTTAACGCGTGAAGCTTTAAGGTCAACATCGGTTCAAAATATTTTTATCGTGACAAATTGTGTACAACTGTACAATAAATGGGAAGACTTCTTTGATGCGATGTGAAATCACTCGAGTGACATGTTCATCACGCACATTTTGAGTGTTCGGCTTCAGTAAGATAAAAGTTACTTTGTCCTCGAGCCGGGTGCTTCAGCGATTAGTTGCTCAGAACAGCTCAGCTATGGCTATTTATGCAACGATATTACTTCTTTTAATAGAACTATGTCATCGCCTATAGTTATCTTTCATGCGAGTTGTTCCAGAAAGACATACATTGTGCAATTTTCCACCCACCGCGATCATTGCTCATGCTAGTGAGCTGTGCGCGGTTCAATGTTTACCCTCCACTGGACAGCCTGGCACGTGTCAGAATCATTACGAAACCCTCCCGAGATATCATCATGGCGAAACCGTGCCCCGTGCCTACGTGCTTAACGAACTCATAGTCACTTGTTTACCGCCGACCGCATACCTACATATGCAGGTGCCTTGTGGTTTTCATTATCGCGTCTTATTACCTATGTGGACATAATAGGACATATGGCTATCAGGTGCTGTCCTACTCTCGATATCACCGATGTATCGTCCGTGTACAACGATGAAACGCTTCGGCGCCCCTGCCCAGTGGTCGATCGGACATTCCATGAATCGTGTAGGCATGAACTATGAACCGCGTAGGCATGGACTAGGATCTATGTAGGTACAGGTAGGTCAACCCAGGTCCCTTCGGCTCCCGGCGCAGTATTGCGTCAGCTCCGTCACACACGTACCGTGACTCATGGGTCCGGCCGGCTCTGCTGCACGCAGGATGGGGAGTGTGCTGGTCTGGCCAAAACGACAAAGTGCACAAACTCTGAATATATTGTCGGTAACAACTCCGTCACCACCCGGTGCCGACGAGGTCGCAATCACAACTCAGCGCGGAGCTCCCCGCTCCGCGCGCCGTCCCGGTTCCCGCCAGACTCCCAGCCGGCCCGCCGGCAGCCCCAGCCGCCGGCGCCGGGCCTCAGGCGATCACGTGATCCGTGGTCATGCCCCGCGGCCCGGGCCAGGCGAACGGAGCAGCCGGCACCGGCCGATGAGGTGCCAACCTAGTGGAGATGCAAACCCATCACATCTCCCCCTCCCCCACAGTCACATCTGCTCACATTTCCTCGATTAACCGTTTCACGCGCCTTCTCACACGCGTGGATCGTCTCAACCCGAGCGGGGCCGACGGCGCCGCGGCCGCAGGCTCCCTCTGCTGGAGCACCGGCGGCGGCCGGCTCACCACCGGTGGCACGCACTGAGCCAGTTCGTCAGGGATGGCATGGCCATAACGACGCCGCAGATGCCTACGATTTCGCGTCAGCACACGCCCGCTGGACAACCGCACAAAATACCTCCGATGGGGCCCAACCTCACACACGACACCGTAACGGTCCCACCGCCCGGTGCGGTCGTCCTGGACAGACACCTGGTTACCGACGGCCAGTGGCTCCAGGTCCCGAGCCTGCCGGTTATAGAGGTCGTCCGCGCGCTGCTGTTGCTCCGACAGGCGGCCAGCGGCCGCATCGGCAGCGATCTGCCACTCGGGGGCGAAGCTCCGCCGATGAGCAGGCAGCGTGTCTCTCACTGGATGTCCGAAGACGATCTGTGCTGGCGACCTTCCTCCTCTCCCGGGGGCGTTGCGGTGCTGTAGAATTCCCCTTGTCCACCGTTCCTCGTCCAGTTGATTCCTGCAATCATCCCAACAGCACCGGATCAGTTTCTTGGCGGCCTTCACCGCTGCCTCCGCCCTCCCGTTAGATTGGGGGTAGTGGGGAGATGACCGTCTATGCTCCACACCCCACCGACACAGAAAGTCTTGGAACGCCTTGGATGCGAACTGGGGCCCTCCGTCTGACATGATCCATTGAGGTACACCCACTTGACAAAAGATCTCACGCATTGCTGACATCAGCTGTTTAGCCTGTGCACAGTTCCCCAGCAACTTGATGAAGCGCCACCCCGAGAATCCGTCTACAGCAATCAGGTACTTACGCCCAGCGTGTTCTGCAAAGTCAAGATCAAGTGACTGGAACGGTCGCTGTGTAGGCTGGTGGTGTAGGACGGTCTCTCGCTGCTGTGACGGGAGCTGGGCCTGGCAGTTCCGACAGCTTCGTGTCACGTTCTCGACATCGGCGTCCATTCCGGGCCAGTAGACGACCTGACGAGCTCGGCTCTTCGTCCTCTCCTTGCCCAGGTGTCCGTCGTGGAGGGCAGCTAGGACAGCCTTGCGCAGCTCCTGTGGGATAACCAGCCTGCACCCACATACCACGAGTCCGTCATCGACAGACAGTCGGTCACGAACAGTCCAATATCTGCGGATAGATTCTGGTGTGTCATTCTTGGTCTGGGGGAACCCTTCTTCAATAGTGCGTTTCAATGACTGATACTCGGGGTCATACAGGGCAGCGCGGCGTACAGGGACCCGCAGTTGCTTCTGTACACACTAGTATTTCAGAGTATTCTTGGCCTGTGATACCGTTGGAGGCGAGTTGGGGAGTGATTGTAGGCTTGTTGAAACCGCCGTTTGAAAGGCTTCAAATTGATATAATGGTCTCCTAATTTAATCAGCTTTTTATGGTTGTATCGGCAAAACATTGTTTTTAGCGCTATTTCCTGCCCCACTCCTTCTCAAACCTGGAACCGCTTATTGCATTCACTCCTGCCATCTAACGATGGTCGTGCTGGTTACTAATTCCGGCGCTAGTTTCTGCTCCAGTTTTGCACCCGGCACAAACTCAAGCGGCGCCGTGGCTCGACCGGTGAGGATCGGACCCAAGGCCCTATATACCAGGTAGGGTCGTCCGGCGATTCTACCTGATCGTGACGTCAGCTTGTGACGTCATCTGGGGGCAAGTCTTGAAGCCCCGTTTGAGTCCCATGTAAATGGGCGATTTTTGAAGCGCTGTAGAGCAAACTCTGTTAGAGCTAGCACAAAACTAAGTGCATCATCGGAAAGACGGGACATTTTTCTTTGAATTATCTAAGAGCAGTTTTTCACTAAACCCATTAGTTTTTCCGAAAATTCGTAATAAAGCCCCCCATGCCTCCGCAGCCTCCCTTCCGCCGGCCGCTGCGCCGCCGCGGTAGTGTAGTGGTTAGGATGCTTGCACCGTGATCCAAAGGTCGTGCGTTCGAATCTAGGCGCGGGTCGCTTTCAAATGGAAATTGCAAGCAGAATATGTGCTTTTTCTTTAAAAATCACTTATATTACATCTACCCGTTCATAAAACTATCGATAACAATTGACTGAAAGCCAAAATATAGATTACATTCTTATAAAACAAATTCAAATATGGCGGCCGTTGCGCTAGGCTCCACCCCCGACTCCGCCCCTTCGTGTGACGTCATCTGTGCACTTGGACACACAGGGAGATAGGGGACGACATGGGCCTGATCGGACCGAGCCGACTGCCTGGGGCGTGGTTGGGTCGCAGGCACAGCTGGAGAAGGGGACGGGAGCGAGGGGGAAGGGAGGAGGTGGTCACGTGTCCGTCCAAGCTTGCGCACGACCTGTCCCAACTGAAGCGAACACTCCGAAAGTGAACTTCAGCTGCAGTCTTTAAACAGGTTTTATGGAGGTAAATGAATATTGCCTTGATGCCGAAAAAGATGGTCGGTAATGTCGGTATGCCTAAGTCATTTCGGCCTCTAATCGAGCTAGAGCTTTGCGGAAATACGAGCGTGTTGCCTGTGACGAGAGGAAGCCGGCGATACCCCATTTCAAGGTCCCAGGTCATTGGTTGACCTTGCAGGCCACGACAATGACTCAAAAGTCGGGAAAATCGGGACTTGTCAGAGCTTCGTAAAGTGAGGCTTCGTAGAGTGGGGTTAAGTTTTTCAGGATTCTGATCACGAATTTTATGTTAATTTTGATCCCATATGATGTCTTCATGCAGTCGGCCAGATCGGGTCGGATCGAATCAGGTCAACCAGTAGTAGTCCTGTCGGGTATTCATAGTAGTTGGGCGTCAACCACCACTGACAGCTTCGTAACATGTTACGAAGGCACAAAAACTACTTCGTAAAAGTTCAAATGGTTGCTAAATTCGAAATTAGCTCCAAAAACTAGGCTAGAAACATGTAAAAGTCATAAGAATGAATCAATGTCAGTAAATATCAAATACCTAACCTGACCTTCACATGACCTTGACACCCACCCCATGCGTTGACCATCATCATTTTACATGTTTGAACGTTTGAAACCACAAAAAGACTGCAAACGCGCGAGTAATGTGAGCCGACACAAGCCGATCGCGATTCCGGCCAAACATGTTCTCGAGAAAAGGTCACAGGTCAAATGTCATGTGGGTCAGGGTCATGAAATTTTTTTCAGGGTATGTATGAAATTGATTACCTCGGGGAAATGAAAGCTTCGTCGCGATCGGCCACGCTTTTAGTATGAGTTATTCGCGAAAAACCGAGGAGGTTCCGTTCGACCGCCCTAAAATTGCGAGCGTTAAAAACTGTAGGGCCAAGTATTTTAAGAAGTTTATAGTTATCTTATACACAATTAAGTGTTTAAAACTAAACCGTTTTCTCTTTATGTGGACTAGTCTCAGCTTACAGTGTGCGCCATAAAGAATTACCCATCGATAAAATTACTTTATTTCCTAATGGGATGACATAGGTAGATCATGTTTTGCATAATCGAAAATTTGTCTCCAACCCTGACAGTGTAGCTCATTTTGTATATCGTCGTCCACTGTCTTTGCTACGCTCCTGAAATGCGAGGTCGTCTTAACGTGCATCCGCCGCCCCTGAAATTCACGAATCACCACTGGGTGTTGGCTGCTGAGCGCTCTTTGGCCTTAAGAATGCTGGGCACAATTTAACCCAGACTTAAGCCCCATGGGCCCAGTCAACTGATTTATCCTGCAAAACCCAGTCTACCTAGTCCCTAATACACCGCAAATGACATACGGCGCAGCATCGTTTTAGTATGGGTGATCGAGGAAAATAAGAGAAAAGACGCGTGTGGGTCTTTTCTCGTAGTCGTCTCGCGTGTGGGTCTTCTGTGGGTG